TTCACCGCACTTTCGTGCTCGTATCATAGTTGACCAGCTGAACTGAAACTTCCTTTCCTATTACACTATACGGTGCGTTGCAATCATTCGTTTCCGCTAAACACGTACACGGATCAGATTCTGAAGCTCAACACTGACCACCCCAAAGATCACACAATAGGCTGTGTACAGATACTGTTTCGCAGAATAGCTCTACTGCGGTGCTATGGAAGCGAAATGAGCAAAAGTGACGCACCTATTTAAGCCACTTGAACGCAACGGGGATACCCACATAGCTTTATCCGAAGATGCTTAGTCCACAAGCCTGCAAAAACGGAGCCTACACCAGTGACACTAAAAACGGATCATTCTGTCGTGTATAAAGAATACATAAGGAATGACATCCAGATTGTCCAGACAGCATTACAATATGTTATCCCCGAAACCAGCCGTCACTCTGAGGAAAACATTCGCTAGATCACAATGAAAGCGGGAAGCTCAATTACGGCCAAATATTATATATACAAACTAATTTGCAGGGTTTATTAAAAACTATATAGGGCAAACAGGGAAGAAGTTATCAACTAGTGAACATGCGCACAAAGGGTGTGCGAAAAGTGTTAGACAACTGGTTTCAGCACACATGGATACAGAGGGACACAGCTTCGACTAGAACGAAATTGACCCAAGGTGAAACGCCAAGAGAGGGAGTTTCTCGAAGCCTGTTTCTCATCCGGGAATTCCATCAACATGCCTATCGACATAGACCCAGTATAGCAACCAACTGAGACAGGGAGCTCAGTTGGATGAAAAACCGCGATTCGAATGAACTCAATCCACCACCTGGACAGAGTACGGAACAGTTGCTATGAGCACAGACTGCACTAATCGCCGAACAACCTCCTCGTGGTGCCAGCTGGATGGTTCGGGTAAATCTCGTTCCAGCGAATAGTTCGGGGGCAATGTTCCAGGATGTGGTGGGTTTCCGCCTGGCAAGCCACAAATGTCTGTTTAACAACACTGCGATGTGGCGAACGTCACTCGCTACCAAACAAAGCCACAATGCAAATGTTTACACTTACTCCGCGGACGTCAGTCATCCACCTCGAAGGTTTCCAGTGATCCCTTTTTATGCTGACGGTCTGATGGATCATAATCACAAATGCAGCAGCAAATCTACAAATCCAAGGGCCAACCTACAGTTTAGTTGATCAATTATGATACGAACGCCGAAGTGCTGTTTATCCAGTTGCCATGACTCACATCGCAAGTATAGCACATAACAGCGTCAAGCTAGTGGAGTTGAGTGCAGCTAATATGTACACATACTGGAAACAAGAAGTGCGTTAAACTAATCCGAATGGAACGAAAATTAACAACCAGATGCAAGAAACCGAATGCAGGAGCACCACTGACTGCATGACTGCGCCATGTCGGCTACAGTCAAGGACCCACCTTGCTACATGCACATAAATCTCATACGTATATTCATGTAAACTTTTAACGATGCCCTATATTTACAGAGCATTCCTGCAGTCTTACCATGATCACGCCTGTTCAGGCGTGCCTCGCCTTGTCGATAGCATACCATTTATCTATTATCACGTCGCAACAATATCTGTGCAGCCTATGGTGGTTACCTATACACAAAGATCCTACACAATGAATGGTCATTCAGAACAAAGCCAACTTAATAGCCCCAAACGGACTGGTGGCTGACGACATTCATCCTTGGGTCTGCCTTCCATCAGCTCCTGCCTCGAAACTGCTATCTTTCCTGCACTGATGATGTCATCACGAATGAAGGTGAAACGTTTACATCTAAGTCACACAGCTCAGCGAACGTCACAACTACTGAACATCGTCGACATTTACATCCACTGAATATAGGCGATGATAGAACTATTGACTTGTAAACAAAATATCAAAGAAGGGAAGATTACTTTCCGCGGAGCATAGGCGACATTTTACGAGGGTCATTCAATAAATAAGGTGAATTTTTCGGTATAAGGACTTCTAATGCAGACGAGCTTACTTTTTTAAAATTTTGTTGTTTTACTTCATTTGCACATGGATGTAATTTCTTTTGCAGATTGAACAAAACTTTGAGAGTTCTGACGATTAACAAAGATGGCCTACCAAGAAGCATACTCCAGGATTGAACAGCGGTCAGTTATCAAGTTTTCGTTTGCTGAAGAGTGCAAACCAGTGCTTCCACTCCATGGACTGCCGTTTGGACTCAGGCTCATATTGGCAATCACATGTCTGGTCACTTGTGACCACCTTCTTTAGCAACTCATCACCATCCTTCTCATAGCGGCAGAGACACTGCTGGCACAACTCGACCCTCCTCTGTTTGTGCTCTGCAGTAAGCATCTTAGGCACCCACCGGCAGCTAACCTTCGAGTAGCCAAGGTCATCATGGACAATTTTATGTGCTGTCCCAACAGATAAGCTCAAAGTCCTTGCAATGTCATCCACTGTCACCCTTCTGTCCGACTGAATGAGGTCATTGACTGATTCGATCACCTCAGGAGACCTCACTTCTGTTGGCCTCCCAGGCCTGTCTTCATCCTCAACACTGCTCCGTCCTTCTTTAAACAATTTTGCCCACTTGTAGACATTTTTCGGCTGAAACATGTGACACCATACACAGTTGACATTCTCCTATGTATTTCAACTGGTTTGCAATCTTCAGCAACCAAAAACTTGATAACTGACCGCTGTTTAATCCTGGAGCATGTATCTTGGTCGGTCATCTTTGTTACTCGCCAAAACTCAAAGTTTGTTTCAATCTGCAAGAAAAATTACATCCATGCGAAAAAGATGTACAACAACAAAATTAAAAAAACGTAAGCTTCTATCTGTATTAGAAGTCCTTATACCGAAAAATTCACCTTATCTTTTGAATGACCCTCGTATCATTCATTTTGTCTCCAAGAGAAATTTGGTCGTTGCTTTGGGAGACGGGGTGCACTATCTTTGTACTAGACCCAAAGAGTGGTACAGTCCAGTGTGGAGCGGGCTACGGCTCAACCACCCCCTAGTGTACGTCTGCTACACATGCTTCCTAAGTTATATTGGCAGGAATGCTACTGCTGTGCATCTTGAGTATGGGTATAAGCCGATTCCGTTGATGAAACGTGGCTCCTGTCCACATGCCTTCCGGCCTTATTCCCTCGTGTTTACACTGGAAATGGGGTATGTGGATGGTGCAGCGAAAGCTACCCATGTTCCCTCAGTAGGCGGAGGTGTCCTGTGGCTATCCTATGGGGGCCACACGGACAAGCAAATCCGGAATCGGATGCCGCCAATCATGTGCGCTTGTAGCTGCGTTCCTTGGATTTGTGGATGTGCTACTATACTTGTGGTCGTTTTCGGTTGCATCTTCAGCATGAGGAGGGATCAAAGCAAATCTTCAAAATGGATGACTGACGTGGACGAAAATCCACCTACACTCAGATTGATGGCTTCAACAGAGCAACAAATCCTAACCAACACTTGGTGTTATTCACCACCTGTTGGTCCTTCTCACCTTCTAGGTTGGAATCCACCTGGCCCGCCCTTGTGTTTGACTACAAAACTTACAGCATATGATTCGCAGTTGTCATCAGTGGCGCCTTTGCTATGTTCTCCTAGTCGCATTGCCTGGTTTTTTGTGTCTGATGTTATGTTGTCTGCACAGTAATTGCTAATTGTGTCGGGACAATGAAGGCCGCGAGAAGGCTGTCTCGCCGATGCTGTCTTATCTTTACATCTTAGTCAGCTGTTTGTATCCGTGTGTCATTTCCAAGCTGTAGGCCACTTTGACTGTATGTTTCCTTGGGGTTTTCAGATTACACTAGGTCCCCATTGTTTCTCTTTTGTGGTGGGAATACCTCATGAGCAGTAGTGTTCGGCGTCATGTATTTGATGCAGAAAAAGCGCGAGAAACGCTCAGCACCGTTACTTCACGCACCAGGCTCCGATGGCTCGGCCACGAGTTACGTATGCCAGCCCACCGACTCCCACGATACGCGTTGTTTGCGCGCCGGGGGTGTAGGTAGAAGAGAATTGAAAGCCAAGCGATGACTTAGTCAGGCAGAATGTAGTCCCTCACCTCGAATTTGTCGTCCGTTGATATAGGTAAAGAAGAAGAGGAAAGACAACAAACAAATTTTTGTCCATTTCCACTCACAGTTTTTGATGTTTTTTATCGAGGCAGGGGAAGGGGTTCACCACAACAAGCAGAGATACAAGACCGCCACTGAGTTCGGTGTTCAGCCATGCCTTCCAAGGTTTTCCACCAACAACGCAGCATCTTTTGTAGTTTATCCAGGGAGTCGAAAAGAACCAACCAAGGCCACTAGCTGACATGGCGAATAGCCGACCTGAATAGCGTCTGTGTTGTCAGTCTATTTGTTCCCCCTCCCCTTTAGCTTCCCTCTCCAAAAACGATCTCAATCCAATGCATAAGGTGATTTTAGCATAATGTTACTTTTTGTGTTTTTGTAATCTGTAATGTTTAATCTCTTATCCTTCTTATACTACGACACATTTGCTGAGGTGCGTTTCTCACCCACTACTAATGCGTGTTGATGATGATGTTATTGCTGTTGGTGGTGATGTTGTTGATGAGTTGTTTATCTTAAGCGAACTGCTTTTGCTATCACACCTTTCTATCGGACGTTCTAACTCTTCTTACTAACGGTACACACTGAACCGCCATGATTTATTTTGTTCCTCAACGTATATTTTCGTTCAACTATCATTAAACATTCTATAAAGTCTATCGTTGCTTCCAGCCTACTTGTAGTCACGATTTAACTTACTACTGAAGTTTCATTATTTTATCTAGACCGTTTTGCCATAAATGCATGTTGTATGTAATTCCCTGTCGTTTTTGTGCATTTTGTTATTAAATGCTACGGTTATATGCTTTGTGTTCTTCCGTCTTGTAACTGTATCCGACGCGTGTTTTACTGGCATTTCGTCACTTTCTCACATTGTGTTATCAGGGAAACCCTTCATGTTTGAACGGAATGTATTTCGTTATCACCGGCGTATTGGACAGTATTGAGCGCGACGATGCTCGAGCACTGATTGAACGGTGTGGTGGTAAGGTGCTAAAAACTCTTGGCAAGAAAACCACTCACTTGGTTGTTGGTAGAGAACCGGGAGAAAGCAAGCTGGCAAAGGTAAGTTTGGCTGTTGATAGTTTACATTGCTGTTCTCTGCCAATACCACACTTCACGGCCGATTTCATCCTATTTTGCATTCTTCTGTTAGACAACTGACTCCTTGCTCACTTGACCATTGAATCTATCAAGTAACCCAATGATGCGTTATACCGTTTCCACACAACACTAAATCCTTTGCTCCACAAGTGCGTATCATTATCATCAATTCCTCTTCCTTATTTTCTCCTTTATCAACCCATATATGATGCTCTTACTAACTGTGTATCATGGCATGATTTTGACGCTAGATTTGGCAAGGAATGTGTGTTTCCGACGTCAAACTGGTGCTTGGCCATTCTAAGTAACTTAACAGTTCCTATTTAACTGTCTGGAATATGGAGCCAGTGGTGATGGACAGTTTCCATTGACTCGTCGTCATACGTTTACGATCATCTGATTTGGCCTATATTAGTGTTGGAGTAAAAAAAATGTAGGCACCCCAGCATTCTAAAACAAGACTCACGGCTGCTCACCAACACCGTCGTGGAATACAGCTACCCGGTTTTCTTCACCGCTTAGTTTAGCAAGAATAAAGTGGCGCAGAAAGTGCCAACCCTACCCGAACTTGAAGTAACGTTGAAATAACGTGCATTTTAATTTAGATGACGCGGGTCAACTCTTTCAACCGCCTCTGGAGTTTGTAGAGGTACTACCTTACTCCGGCGCACAACCGGTAATACTGTATACTGCGACGCGCACTCCTAAATCTTTGGCTAAAAAATCGCCACTCGTGTTTAGCTATCTAGACATACTTTCCCATTTTTGCGTGAATTTGTAACACCGACTACGTAGGCATGGGAGAACGTCGTTCTGGTGGGAGAATCACGAACCATTTGCTCATGTTGGTCATACAACACGTGTACGTGATTGTTGGCACCACCACTAGTGAGCAGTCGATGGAAGCAAGCGATCTGCCATACGATAACATGAATTTCTCGCCATTTTGTTAACAAACTGTTGTTGCCACGTGTCTAATGTTTGATCCACGTTGAAGCGCTTACCATTAAACAACTTGACCTTGGTTTGTATGTGCAGAAGAGCTCGTTTTTCACACCAGCCTTTCTCGGTAGTACAATGATTTCTAACCTGTGGGTATTTACTCCCATTTGGGTAAAATGAGATTATACGATGAGTTCAAAGATCGGTCATCGCTCAGTCACAAAACAAAAGTAGTATGAAAGTCACCTGTGTCAAATCATCTAACCGCCTAATCACAGATCAAATAACTCTCCACTTATCATCGTTATCACATTCTATCGGCAAATATTTTCATGACTTCGGAAATCACCAGGTGGATACATAGGTGCAAAAACTCTTTACATTGGATGAAGGAATATTTCCAGATATCGAATTTGAAATCAAAGCACAATTCCTTCTACTTCGCGAATACAACACACTGAAAATAGATTTCGAAAATAACCAACAACATTTTGGGCAAAACTTGGTTGTGCGGCTCTTATTTTATCGGGAAAAGAACATTGAAAACACTGATCCTTTTCCTCACAGCTTACAAATATTGATTACTGATTACTGGTTAGAAGCAGCAAGTAGGTTTTGCTCTATGTAGCTGCATTAATTGTCACTCATGGACAAATACCCGTTATGTTGTGTTCCGCTCAATATATTTTGCGTCAGCAAGGTGTTTGTCAAGGAACTTCTTAAATTCCGACACTGACATTGCCTTTGAGGTGGGTATTCGACAATGGTGGCAGTGAAAGTCGAAGCAATGGCCAGATTATTTTAGAGCACGACTTAAAATGTGCATTACTCGAAATTTACACCAAATGCGAAAGAAACTGTTGAAACTAAGCACTGCCAGTCGCCTCATTGACTTGTGGTACATTTTGATTTAAGAATTGCTTAAAAAATGAGCATTTCTGTTTGAATGGTTGAAATCAATTAAAAAACATTTGTTTTCCATCATTTATAGCAATTAAATGTAATGGCTGTTAGTTAATTTGTTTTGAAGCTATACTAATTTGTGAGTATTTGTTTATATGAAGTCAGCTTTATGGGTAATTGCTATCAAAAGGTTGGTAAGCACTGCGATGCTAATAGGCCGTTGGACAGATGGTAAATGCACAGGTGTGTCCAAGCGTGTTTACGCCTATCGCTGAATTTACTGTCTGGACTGTATTGCCTTTTGTAATGCTATACATATGCACGTGCTTTCTAATATGCACTTAACACCACGCGCGGAATTCTATATATATCTTCGAAATAGTAGAGAATATCCGTAGCTCGGGATGTGGATGTGGGTTTTGCACTGCTCTTCAGGCTGAATGATTACTTTGCAGACGTTTCGCTGCCAGACTAGGTAACGTTATCAGTGCAGCTTTAAGGTCCTATTTCTCGGAGCCTCGTAAGCGACATCCAGATCTAAGTGCTTACTGATCGAGTTCTACGTTGAATACCAGGCTTCAATAAACTCACGTGTTTACCGGCTTGTGGCTCTTCCGATGATTTTGGCGTGCTCCAAGTCGAATTGGTACCCCCCGAACTGCAGTCAGTAGGAGTATAAACAGAGGCGATGAAAAGGCACCTTGTCTTTATACGGTACTTGTTAACCCCAATAGAGGTCCGAAGTCAAACCGTGCACATGCGGGTGTTCACCGGTATCCAGTCGAGTTGATTGCCTTCAGCTTGTTTGATGAACGCGATACCAACACCGTAACTAACTTAAGCCATTGTCTCGGTATTACCGGAGACGTAAACGGTGTAGTCATTGTCGGTAGATTGCGAGCCAGGGAGTCAAATATTTGTCATGACGCTACTATTTTATATGGTTGTTTCGGAATCGAAGCATACCCCGATACAAGTAAAGTGAGGAGTGATAGTTACTGCTGCCTTTTAGCCCATCTGACCCAGAATGCGGACGGTGAAAACACCGATGTGAACTGAAATTCCATGTTTGATGGAAGAGCTACATGTATCGATAGCAGCAGCGTCGAGGTTACCGGCGGCTTCTCGCTTTATAGGCGTAGAAGAGAGTTGAGAGGAAAGAGAAAGGCACGCAGAAGAAAAGTGGATTTGTCGATGGGGTCGAGAGGACAGATGATCCTCTCCGGCTGCTTATTCCGAGTGAGAGGTTTTCTTCTTGGTGCCCTACGTCTAGCCTTTGCTACAACAGGCTGACCCACAATGCCGTGGTGCACACGGTTGTTTCCTTGAGGGACTCCATCCGGAGTCTTTGTTACAATGGCTTGACCCGCAGTGCAGTGGGACATCTGCAGGTTCGCTTGAGGAACTTCACCCGAAGCCTTCTGCTCAGTGTTTGGAACAATCACGATGAACTCTGTCGTTTCATTGCATCTGAAAACTAGTTGGAATCGCAGGGATATGCTTCAATTTTGTGGTGAATCTCTAGAAAATCGAGTTCAGTGTCTATCCATTCTTTCGCTACAATGGACTCTCGACCGTCTACTTGGTGCCTTCCTCTACATCCGGTCATCTCTGTGCGAGAGACTTGTGAGTATCTACCGAAACGACGATGGCCTATGGGAGCAACTGTTTTGCTCGATTCACCGCAAACGCGGAGAGTTGGTCGTGGGTGCATTTTATCGCAGTCCCCAGAGCCGTTTTTCAGATTGCCTTCCGCATCTCCGAAGCCGCATGTGTCACCCCCATTTCCTACTCATAGGTGATTTCAATTGTCCTCGTATACGCTGGCCTGAAAATGTACTCATTCCCGAACATTGTGAGGTCGAAACAAGACTCGTTGATTGGGTACTTGAATCTGGAACGGTGCCAACTAACACGTACAAAACCGCGCTCAGCTCCGTTGTGCCTAGACCTAATGCTAACAAGCTATGAACAACTTGTATTACTTTCAGATATTAAACTCCTTAACAGCATGCGACCGCTCAATGCTCATATTCAGCATGGATTTACCTTTATTCGGTTCCTTTCTGGTGGAGCCAGATTACAACTACTGGGAACCTTATTTGGATGGTCTAGCTCAAGCCGCGAGCTAATTAAATTGGTCGCTGTCGCTAGTTGCGTATGTGGACTACTGTTGGACTGTTATTAGAGTGAGAGTGACATCCCTGTGTTCTCGGTTCGTACCACTGAAAAATCAGAACGCCGGATCATTGAAGCCGCAATGCTTCAACAAGGACTATGATAAAATGGCTAGGCAACGGCTCAGACTGTGGGAAAATTCCTTCTCTCCAGCCTTAGCAAGGACCACGTTGCATTCACCTTTATTATTATGCTGCAACTGTGTTATTGTGCGCTGTTGATCATGCCTATACTAGTGTACCTCGCTCCACCATTTATTTATTTATAAGAGGTAGCGAAATATTTACAACAGTGCAAAGGAGAGCACGCGCCGGCATTTAGCAGAGCAACTCGCAACGGCCAAAATTTCGCCCTAAAAGAATATTCGCGGTACCTTCAGCCAGTAGGTTATCTGCCAGTGCTAGAGGGCTCGGACGGACAGCACCTAACCTCCAGCATTGGGCGTGCATCCGCATTGCCGGTGCACTTCGCTTTTGTATGTCCAAATGACCAGATGTTTGTAACGCGTTCGATGTGTACCGCGCTCACCGAACTCGAAAGTCTGGTTTGCGGTGTTGAAAAGGTGCCCCAACTACTCACCAACCTTGACGGCACCAAACCTGTTGGCCCTGATTGACTCCACCTACTGATTCCCAAGTTCCTCTCGATCATCATATCACCTGCTATGACTGACTTGTTCAACATGTCATTGTCCAAATGTTCTTTTCCAAGCGTCAAGAGAGAGATCGAGGTTGGAGGGGAAGATAAGCATGCTGGTGAAGGACAAAGAAACTCACTGCGCAAACGCCATTGAGGTCAGTTTCTTGCCATGTCAACTAGTGTATCCAACCAAACATGCCCATCGCCAATGGGGGCTCCAGCCCGGCATTCGCGAGACACCAACTGATTCCACCTTCGAAGTGAGGGATTTCATTCCTCTTGACCAAATCATCGCTTGACCATCCCAATTCTTCTTCCAGCCAGACCCCCGGCGCGCAAACAATGCACGTCGCGGGAGTCGGTGAGCTGACATGCGCAACACATAGTCCAGCCACCGGAGTCCGGTGCGTGATATAATGGTGCTGAGCGGTTCATTCGCTCTTCCTGCACCAAATACACCACGTCGTACACCCTCATTGCTTACGCGGTGCTCCTCCACATAAATATGAGCTAAGCTACGAAGGCAGCGGTGATCGAATGTGAGTAGCTAGTGCCTAGAGTGTGACTAAGAGTATCTTCTGCTGTTCGCAACACCGCGTCCATCACTCACTACATCCACTGTGATGAACTGGGGCACCCACTCCCGGAAGGCGTATGGATCGTTACTGGATCACTGCACGGCACAACATCCACATACACTCTACTCTCCTCGCTTAGTGAGTACATTGTTCAATGCATATCTCTGTCTCCATCCATGAGATCCGTTGTTTCCTTCGCCTATATCAGGGGTCACCACACTTCTTTCACGGCGGGCCGGATGACCAACAAAATGACGACCGCGGTCCGGAGTAGTTTTTTGTGCAATATTCGCAGGCCAAAACTAAATCTCTGAACAAATAACAGAAATAACGTACTTCAGCATTCAATGATAAATATGGGTGGATTACATACAATGTATACAAACCAAAGCAGTCTACATATTTATTGACTAAAATCTAGATCGACGGTGACGTGTGCAAAATGATACTTACCTCAGACGTTTTGTGCACATATCTGCATGGCCTAAACTATGCAACAAAAGGATTTGAGACTTGTGAAACTGAATTTCGACTTTCATAATATTATCATTGTTTGGTTTGAGGTGCCTTCACCCAATCAAGAGATTGCCTTTGAATGTTCAGCGGTCTGGCTTGTTCGATGAGTCGACTTCACATGCTTCATTTAGGAATCTTTGCTCACATACATAAGTTGTTCCATACACTGACGCCATACCAGCGGTAAACTTCCTTAGTTCCGGAAATTCAATATCAAGTAAGCAACGATAAAATGGAACGAGTTCTCCTTCACTGTGCTTCTCTTTCAACTAGTCACTTGCCTGCATATCAGTTGGCATAAGCTATAGTTCAACTGGAACTTCGTCAAGATCGCAATCAAACCAAATCTGGAAAAAGTGCATTTTGCACCCAATCCTGTCACTATCCGAAAATCACCCTAAGAAATACCTCTTAAAGTCACGGATAATTGTTCTCGGAGTTTCGAAAAAGGTATCTTCGATGTTCGTAGCGCGAAACCCTTTGAAACAGTGAAACTAAACCAGCTTTTCTCCGAGTTGTGTTTCAAACCATGACAGCTTTCTCTGATAAACACTGATAATTATTTAGATTTCACAGATGAGGTTCTCCTTCCCCTGCAGTTTCTTGTCCACTACATTCGCGTGTGTTATGATGTCAACTTTGACAACCATATAGTGTCTGACAACGGTAGGTCAGCTCTATCATTTTTAAGTGAGGAAAACAGCTATTACGTTTCGGAGCTGGCAAAAATGGAACAGGACTTTACCACAACTGAGTCACTTGACTGATGACAAGCCACCGGATTTGGAGTCAATATCCCCCAGAAATGACTGGAACTGAAGATGATTGAGAGCATGTCCCCGGATGAATTTAACAATAGAAACGACCGGTTTCAGTACACAAGTGATATCTAGCTCTTTCCCGCAAGGTGCATGTTGATGTAGGATGCAGTATGTGAACAGAGAGGTCGAAATTCGCACACCTGAGTCTTGACCTACCCTATCAGACCCTTCCTCACTCCTGCCATGTTTCTCCTTCCATCGGTTCTAACATCTTGAAGCCGATTCCACGGAAAGTCATATCGTTGCAAAAATTTGTGCAATCAGGTAAATATCTTTTCCACTTGTCGTCTCATGCATGGTGTAGACCGATGCTAACTATTTCGTTGCCTGTAACCAAATTGACACCACGAGTGGATACGACAAGTTGTGACGTACTCGACAGATAAGTGAACTCATCCAGTGCCAGAAAATACCACGAGAAGTTCTTAGCTATCTTGTGTATCTGCACTACTATGTTCTCTCTAACTTCTTTTGTTCTGAGCACAGCTGAACTTGCCAAAAGACTGATAGTTGTAAATAATACGACTCACTCAGGATACAAGTCAGCTACAGCTTCCATTATACATCTTTTGAATAAGTTACCATCACTAAATGGTTTTCCTCCTTATGTCATTCTATGTACTATCATGTAGCTACTACGACTACTTGCTTATTTTTTCAGTAAGGTTTCTCGTGAAGAGCATTCGTTGTTTCTAAACCACGTTTCATGGACTTCTCTCTTTCCGGGCGTTGCTTTTCCGAAAAATTTAGATATGCTGTTAGGTGTTTTGTTTGCTAATGACGCCGGGAATCACATTCCTTCAAAACCGCAACACTTTCATCTAATCCTACGGAAATGGTTTTCTGACCCATAGTTTCCACCGAAACATGTTATTCCCCGTTCTCTGGTGAAAACGCGACACTCGGCGTCCACTTTTCTATTCTCACTAACCATAATGGGCAGTTCAGTAAAAGAGGGGTCGATATGAAAAAATCATTGAGTTAAGGGCAAAGGTAACATTTTACTGGAGTACAAGCAACATATTGAACTTTAAGTCTCTAGTGAAGCTATGCCACATCACACCGTTTGCAGGTAGCTCTGCTAATAGATCTCACATAAAGAGCGTTGCAATACACATATTCATAAGGTCGGTCTAAATAAACCGCCTGCAGCAGTGTTTTGTATTTGCGGTGCTGCGAGTGGCAGCACGCAGAGACAGATCGAAATCGCCTACATCCAACGATTTCGCCCACCTAGTTTACCACGGGCACTCTGCAACCTTCACCATTGCCACAGATAACATATATAAGACTTGCTTTGAGATCCCTGTAGCACGCTCCCCTTTACCGACTTACAATTCTCGTAGACATCATGGGCTAGACAACTCAGGTTCGAGGTCTTGACGTGCCCACTACCAACATGGCTTTCCTATATGTCACTACTCCTCAACGTATCAGTTGTACGCCGTAACGGCGCCTCACTGCCATCCGACCACCACCAGTTGCGCGTGGGCTGAGTATACCGCTAGAACGCGCGCTGCTAAACAGATTTGAGTTAGTGACCTTATGACTGCAAGCCAGGCATGCAGACCACTCGGCCACCGGCCGTCAACTGCTCCGCTACATGGCTTGCTTATATTTCGCATGATTACATAGCAAGAATAGTCGCATGAGAGCCACCACGCACCGCGCTGTGTCTGTGTGGACGAAACGATTGCGTAGATCACATGAAGGTGAACGGCGTCAAACGGGTTATAGGACAAGAGCATGCAAAACGCTACCGAGTTTATCTTGCGAAGAACGGCATAGCACCATGAGCGGTCCCGGTGAATAGGTAACACGCTATCGTCCAAACTGTCGAAACTGATGAGCGACATGTAGGGGCTGGGGTGTGACGATGATATTGTATGGGCGTGTTCAGAGTGGGGTCATGTAAAAAGCCATCAAAAGTGCATTAGTGCGAAGATTGTACACAAATTTAGCATGGGCATGGGATTATTTAAGTGCATAATTTCGGGTACTGTTGGCGGGCCGGATAAACTCAAGTCACGCGCCGCATTCGGCGTTGTTTGATGACTCTTGGCTTAGATTATTTACACTTACTGGCACTGGTTAGATTCCAACGACATCATATTCTTAGATCATGAATTGACACAATGGTTACCTCGCTTGTTGTGGGTACCCATTAATTTGACTACGCTGAGTTCCTCATGTGGCGACTGCTTCCGGCTTACACCGACTCTTGGAATGCATGTTTATTTTATTTTGCTCATACAAGATATGCCACGATCAACCAAACAAGTTTTGTTTTCATAACCTACGTTTTATTTGTGTTTCCTTTGACTTGCATTTTCTCCTGTTTTGTTAGGCTTGTCAAGATTTGATCGTCAGTCATTGAAAAACCCTACTTACTCTTAAGTGGGACTACGCCTTCTTGAAAAGGTCCTGTAGTCATCTATGACGCTGACCCGAATTCTTCATGTTTCCGGAGGCGTCTATGCGCGTTTTAAGCCACAACTTTCAGGGCATGTTGTATCTATTGACTTGCGTTTTGTTTGCTCCCAAACAACTGATGCATTTACCTACCCAATTTGCCCCGCTTGGACTGGTCCCATTATACCACAACATTCATAATGACATTGCACCCCGTTTGTCTTTTGTCTTTGCAAACTTTGCCCCATCCCCCGCACAGGCTGAAACAATGAACCTTAAGCAGCTTAATGAGGATGAACTGTTTGCTCTCATTCGAGAGTTGGCAGGTGAGCCACTGGACTCAACACACCAAGCTGGTTTGTCGCCAAGTAACAAATCTTCAGGGTCTGCTGCCACAACCACGCCTCCAGTAAAGGATGACAATCGAAATTCAACTTATGTCGCCAGATCTTCGCCTTCAAAATCAGCGCATTCTGTCTGCAACCTTACCGCCAAACCGGTGATTTTGACTCACAATCCACCCAACAAACCGGATACTTCTCAAACCGTGGATTCTGTAGCACTGTCGTCATTATCCATCGGTGCGAATAGTGTCTTATGGGTGGATAAATACAAGCCAACGTCTCGACGTCACCTCATCGGTCAGACTGGCGATCATAGTCCTGCAAATAAACTGTACAATTGGCTTTCAAATTGGCACTCCCACTTCTCTGCAGGTTCGGTTCACTGTTTATCGTTTTGGTCCATATTTTGTTTGGTTTTTCTGCTGCCCCGGCTTGTCATGACGCACCTTATTTCCATTGATCACGGTGGCATGAACCATTTTAGACAATTTATCTATCACAGTGGAACCGTTCTACTCCTCAAATGTTTTCGTGCTCTCATACCGCACTAATCATTGGTCGTATCTCATTTAAACATGGTCTCATTGTCAAAATAACAATTAACTGGCAATTTGGTTAGCTGTTCGTGTGTTGTTTCGCTCGCCAATTTCTGAGTGGGGTCTATAACCATCGTCTTACTAAACAAGTAATAGCATTTATCTGTACATCGTTCTTTCCCTTCTTTTCATCATCATCGTCTACCTCCACCGCCTTCCTACTATGAAGCCCTGCTACTGATCTACTGTTTGCTTACAGCACACAGCTGAAAAACCCTATATCCGCATACATCAAACTCAAATTGGCCATTTGAGCGAGCTTCCAAGCCTTACACATGAACGTTAAGGGCATTCACAGCCCCATTAGCATTCGCAACATTGATATTCCTTATCATTCAGATTTGGAACTTCCTGATATAGTCTACCCTTGTCTATCTCCCTGCTATCGTTGTGTTTGGTGAGTACGCCTACACGCTTAGAGGGACCTCACTAAATCTTCCCTGTCGTAAACTGCACAACTAGCCGTTTACTTCAATCTACTCTACATGAATGCTCTCTGCATATCTGCAGTCATCACTATCTCGAACTGCAGGCCCGCATCATGGTAGGGACGCCGGATTCTTGAGCCCAGTGGCCTGTAGTTCATCATGATTGCTGGAATGCAGCCACAAAAGTTGCCATACCGTCGTCATCTGGTCGTACATAATCAACGTCAAAATTGACATTCATCACCTTTGTACATGTGATACATGTTGGTATGAATTAGAAATACAAACTACAAAACAGATGAGCATGATGGAGGTTGTGCAATCGTCATTTGGGAACACCGTCGCGTATCATACCTGTGATTTCCTCCAAGCCGACATCCTAACACCACAGCTGCAGTAAGGCCGTGTTAACATTATATGAAGCGCCAGAAAACCAGACATTTCATCCAACCCGGTTGGATAGTGGACTTTCCAACTTTTTGCTCGGGACTTGTGTAACAACTTAATGCGGTATCCTTGATTGATGCCACCAACTTGGTTATCTTCTCTGATTTACTGTGTTGGCTATCACTTTGATATTCGTGTCGCGCGGCCGTTTTCGTCTTTCTAGCGAATATCCAGTTTTTTTCGGCGCTTCATTGTTGCTTGTTTATGAACACGAAATGCGTAAATTGTCTGGGAGAGTAGTTGGCACCGTAAGCACCAGTTGTTGTAAATGCGTACGTATTTGTTGTTGCGCATTATAACGGGTTGTATCGGTTATGGCTACTCAGGAATCTCACTTACTGCTTATGGCAGCCGCATGTGCATGTATCAAGGGAGACGGCTAAATATTATTATATTATTATTCAACACTTGACCAATGTACAATTGGTAGTGCCACAACACATAGTTAACAACAACAAAAGAGGGAAAAACGCGTGGCCAATGAAATGATTTGGAAAGTTTGGAAGGTAGTGTTGTGTGGGCAGAGATCTTCCCGGTTGCCCAGGCCAAGGAGGAGGGTTGACTTTAGGGACCCCACCCCAAGTCTTTGGTCTTAAGACCTAACCCGCAAGGTGGCGGGGCGATTAACGAAGACCGTTGACATCCCAGTGGCCCATTCGCCTTCTTTGTGTTCCGTAGCAGTCCACAGAGAAGCCGGTGGCTAACAAGGTTGTTCATCCGCTCTCCGTTACGTACTCACCTCTGGTTACAGAAGTGAGTGGTCAGTGACCCTATAGCCGGTCACATTGGCTTTGACACAGCGCCGTACGAGCTGTTGTGTTATTTGATGGAGAACCAGGTGATCAGCCCAGAACTCCCCACGCTCTGAGACGCTACCACTGATTGTCCGCGACTGCTTATTCATCTCGCCTGCAAGGCAAACTTGACCTATTCGTAGTTACTTCCACAAGGAAGGCATTCTCCAATCCGCAGCCTGGGGACGCGCCCGATAGCGTACAGCTCCGCCACGATAGACGGCTAAATAACGACAATAGAAGAGGTAGACTCGATCAGTGCCTTCTTTCATCGCGTACGTAAATGAAATGGTCGAGTGTCATGTGACTGAACGATGAGAACGAGATTTTATAGGCGGACTAGGTTAGTGAAAAACTCGGGGTTGATATTGCCGAATGAGAGGAAAACATAAAGTGAACACGGAGAATGTAAAAATGTGTTCGTTTTGCTTCTCTCTTCAGCAACCTTTGCTGGTGAGTTCTTTGGTTTATATGTCTTTGGAAGAACGCATTGATGCTTGCATCAAGCTTCCCACTAACAATACTTTCAACTTGTTGCCGTATCAACCAGTAGTCTGGCCAATTCGCACTGAAAACATTAGTGATTGGCCGTGTTTGATCACCGGTGCTCGCGGAGTATTGCTCACGTTTGAAAAGAACACTGGGTGAGCTCCACCAGTTGGTTGTTAGAGAGAAACAATTTGGTGTAGTGTCTCTTGGACGTGAACCCCTTTCGTTGGCTAGATCGTGTCCTCCATGCACCTGTTGTCCGCTTTTCTATATATACTGTTGCCGCGCCAATTTGGGCGAGGCCACTAGGTGTCCAATCGATGATGTGGCATAACGACATGAAGCTATCGATCCAAAGGCTTGTTCAGGCTGGTATATGCCGTACTGTGAGGAACTAAATAAACTTATTTTGACGATCCTAGACACGCCTGTCTCTGCATAATCTGGTAATCGCAACTTGTTTAGAACGTTGATTGCAGATGAATCAGGAAATTAAATGTCGGATCAGATGACGACTTTTAGAAAGACAGCAAAGCCATCATAAGTGCTTAGCTGAAACAAAATGATGTTGGCTGGCCTTTAACCGATCTCTCACACACCTCATTATAAAATAGTTCACTCACAGGAGGGAGTGTTCGCGAAACATGTACTGGGTCATATGACCCAGAAGTTAAGCGAATATGAATATCGCAATACTGGGTTTCTTAATGTACGACAGAGATTAAGTGGTTTCCTATCAAGTGTCTGGCGACTATGAGTGAAATCGCGCTTGTGAGACATTGCGCAACATTTATTAGCAGAGATAGACATTTTCCACTTTGAGCACCAGGTTCCAGTCCTCTTACTCACTCTCTTTTTTGTGTTTCGTTACTCATGTGTTGTGGCACTCTGCCAAATGTTTATTGGGCAAGTGTTAAATACAATACATAATGCCAGGTTCCAAGCGCATGGAGGTATAGATAAATTATCTTGACAGAATTATTAAGGGCACCCGGACGGAAATTGCGTTTGTGTTCGATGTCAACGACAAAGATATATGGTGCGCCGAATTTTACTACATCAAAACACCGTTAAATTATAATAACAACAGTAGCGGCCCACTGCCTTGTATCCCAGCGCTGGGGACAGATGTAGGCTCAGTATTGTGTCCTTGAACATATACCAGCTACGTTTCATCATCATCATCATACACATTAGCTAGAGGTGGGAAACACCTCAGACACTGTGTCGAAACCAGCTGCGTTTGATTCGTAAGTTATGACCTGGGTAAACGTCAAAACGTTTAGAAACTGAGCAGAACACGCAGTTTCTGCTTGTCCAAATTCAACAAGGGCCGGAACAGATCACCGGAAGCAAATTTACGAGCCGGAACTGACCCATGATCCCCGGAATAAGTCAAAATTCAAGTCCGGCTTGACTACGACGCTAGTAAAATACAATAAATATCAAAAGCTGACAAACCTCAAACCCTGTCCTGAAGCACAAAAAACAAGCCAAGTGCTGGACGAAACCGCAAGAGGAGCGTTTCAAAGCAAGACAAGACACAATCTGAGTGACTAGACGCGTACACCTATGCTGGGTAGTAAGAAGTCAGCCTGGGGCAGCATGCTTGGACAACACAAAATGCTCCAATAGCGCAGTTGTGATGATCGATTGAGTGTGACCAGATAGGCAGGTTTGGGTCACAGTTGATTGGCCGTCACGCGTTAGTGGACCGACAAAACCCTCGCCGTGTCTGCCGTAGAATTGGCTGGGGTAACACAGAGTGTAAGAGTGTTGGCGTAGCATGCCAGAGCAACGATTGAGCGTATTCAGCATGAGTAAACCCGAGTGACTAATCAATGTTCATACTGAATACTGAATACTGTATTATAGAGCAAGTAGAAATGGATTCTGTACAACTCTTTCGAGATATGGCGAAAAACGTTATAAAAGTTGTCCACCTTGAATATCATTGTCGTTCTCATGTAATATTTAAAATATTCGACTTACAATATTTCAGGATTCACAAATGTGATGTCATCGTAAGTGTGCAGTCGTTCTCTGAATCGAATAGAGGCAAAATGCAAATCTAACAACGTTTTGAACTGCTGCACAGATGTTGCCTCAATCACATGTTCTGGCAAACTATTCCAAATGTTTACCACTCTCCGTTCGAAGCACAGTGGGTGGGGAACACGTTTCATATCCGGCACAACAAGTTTGTATCTGTGTCCGCGTGTGCTGCATGGCCCTCGTAAGTGCAGCATTGGCCTTAACATGGGGAACTCACCGAGATGTAGAATTCGGTAGGTCATAATGAGGTCGACTCGCACCCGACGGTAGGACAAGGTGTAGAGTCCTAGTTTCTCGCACCGGTTTTCATACCCCAAGCCACGTAAATTCGGGATGAGCCTGGTAGCAACGGGTTGGACCCGTTCGATCTTTTGTGCCTCGCCTCGGGTAATCGGAAAGTAGGCGGCCGAACCGTACTCTAGCATTGGTCTAATGATAGAAGAGAACAAGCGAGTGGCAACCTCTTCAGACCATGTGCCGAAGCTACGTTTGAGCGCCCAAAGCATGCGCAGTCCGTTCCGATATAGCCTGTTCATGTTGTCAACGGACTTCAAATCGTAGCGTGAGAGTACACCTAGGTCCTTCACGGAGGGTGTGGGATATAACGTTTGGCCGTCAAGGGTGTAGGTTCGGCCGTCTGCACCCTTCCCCAGGCTCATAAATACCGACTTGGCTGGGTTGACCGGGAGAAGAACTTCTGCAGACCATGTGGATAAGCGGTTGAGATCTTGCTGAAGTAGGCCACAGTCGTCGGGAGCGTCGATTTCTCTCCAAATCTTCATGTCGTCCGCAAACAAGGCACACGGCGACCGAAGAAGCTGCGGTAGATCGTTGATGTGGATCAGGAACAGAGTGGGCCCCAGCACAGTGCCTTGAGGCACGCCACTTGTAGAGGGGTACCAGTCAGTTAGATGGTCGTAGACCTGTACCCTCCACTTTCGTCCAACAAGAAAGTCGCGGATCCACCGGTGCAGTGAGCCACCGACGCCACACATGCTGAGTTTGTGAAGGAGAACCTCATGACTGACCTTGTCGAACGCTTTACTGAAATCGATGAATATCACGTCGACGGACTTCCCCTTGTTTATTGCCTTCAACCACTCATGCCTCGTCACAAGCAGGTTAGTAATGCATGAGCGACCTTGCATAAAACCGTGCTGTGCGGGCGTCAGGACCTCGTTTGACTGTAGCAACTGCAGCAATCTCTTCTTCACGATTTTCTCAGCAACCTTTACCAAAATAGGTGTCAGACAAATTGGCCTGTAATTGTCTACTTTGCTAGGGTCGCCGCCTTTCGGAATAGGCTTCACCACCGAACATTTCCAGTCAACCGGCAACAAACCTTCGGAGAGCGACTTGTTGAAAAGGTCAGTCACGATAGGAGAGAGGATGGTTGAAAGTGACTTGAGAACCAGTGGGTGAAGTCCATCAGGTCCGGCAGGTTTGGTGCCGTCAAGGTTGGCGAGTAGTTGAGCTACCTCTTCAACACCACAGTGCAGACTATCGAGTTCGGTAAAAGCGGTACACGTCGAACTCGGAACAGACACCTGGTTATTCGCAAATACAGAAGCGAAGTGCGCCGCCAACGCGGACGCACGCTCAGTGCTGGAAGTTAGAGGCTGTCCATCCGTGCCATCCAGCACTGGCACATCACCCGCAGGCTTCAGGCGTCGCTTCACGTATGCAAAGATTCTCTTGGGGGCGGTCTTCGCGGCTAATGCGAGCTGCTCTTCAAAGTGTCGGCGTTTATTCTTTTTTGCACTGTTGCAGAGATTCCGCTGACATTTATACCCTTCGTAATCATTGGCAGAGCCAGAGAGAAGGAATTTGTCCCACAATCTGCGCCGCCTCCGAGCCAGGTTTCCATACTCCTTATCAAACCAATGAGGCTTAATCGGTCCAACCTTCCGACATTTCAATGGCACAAATTTGGAACACAATGATGTTAATCTCTTATAAATATTCAACAATCTTCCACAGATGCAGTTTGTGACATAGACCAATTCAGTTGGCTCGCGGCTCGAGCAAGACCATCGAAGTCCGTTTTCCAGTAGTTGGGAGCTGGTTGCATCGGATGTGATAATGTGGATGTCATAATGTAAGAGCCAAAGCAACTGGGGTTTTATCATGCAAAAGAAATAAAAGATCGTGTTTGAGGGAATTGATAGCAGACAAATCTCCAGATAGGCTGACCAAATTGATTTGTCCGGCATAACCTGAACCAAGAAAGCAAGGATTCTCCGGTCCAGCAGAACATTATTTTACCCATTAGTCTTTCACGAGGCGCCTGATCAAGGACTTTGTGCATGTCGAGGTATGTTAGAGTTACCTACAAGTTCATGTGAGCCAGTACTATCATTTAGGAATTTTATGTGGCACGAATTGCAAGACCGAATATTCAAGAAGCCGTGCTGAGCCTTTTTAATTAGCTTTTTAGTCCCGTTGTTGGGTTTTTTTACGTTCTACTTAATTTTCTCATTATTAGTTTTTTGCTGTTTTCTTTTGGTTGCGAGTCGTGGCAACTGGATAGACCGCACCTCGATGCCTGGTTATTACTCCTTTAACCAAGTGAAATTTTGACGCGATTTTCGTTACTAAGCTGTGTTGAACAAATAGCTGGAACTCTCATGAGCTCGCACGAGATAGCAGGTCTGGCCATCGCGTCAGACAAAATAATGGTTAGTTTCGACATTAGTTCCCTATTCACTAATTTGCCCCAAGCTGACGCATTGTGGCTAACACAGCGTTGTCTAACTGAGGACAATAGCCTGAGGGAGCGAATGAAACTCACGGTTTACCAGATACTCGAAGGAATTAAAGTATGCCTTAATATGTCATATTTCACGTTCCAATCGAGACTGTACTGTCAGGAACAGGGACCCGCCATGGTGTCAACAATATTCCCTACATTGACAAATTTGTATATGTAAGACTTTGAGAGGAGGCTGCTAACACACTCCCGTAGTTCGCCAAAGGTTTAGTGACACTACGTAAATAATACATTTGTGATTATAAACCGGGATACGAAGGGTGAGTTTCTAAATCATCTTAACTCCATTAATGGAAACAAACTTTACTACGGAACTAAAATCTTTCAATGGCACACTGCCATTCCTTGATTGCCTAGTTCATAAGAACGGTAGACAGTTAAAGACGACGATATATCGCAAGCTGACAGATACGGACGAAGTACTTTATTACAATTCGGATCATCCATAACAAGTCTATGCCGCTATCATATCCTCTGTTTCACAGAGCCCAGACTCTGTGTACAGAGGAAGAGAGGCCGCTCGTAAGACGGTGAGCAAATTAATAAACAGTGGATATCCGAGGCGGTTAGTGAAACGCCAGTTGCATAGAGCTCTAGATCCACCTCCTCGACGCACAACGATGTGGATTTGGACGGTAGGAATCCCCTATAAAAGGCAACCTCAAAAGCAATCAGGCGACTACTCACCAGGGAGAACGTATGAGTGATTTTTCGAAAGGGTCAAGCGCTCCGTTCATCACTTGTGCGTTTGAAGGATCCACTTCCAAGAGAGAGGACAACCAATTACGTTTATAGAATCCGTTGAAAAGGCTGTGAACATGTATATAGTTCAAGTGGGGAGTGAGCTAGCACGAGGACAGAAGAACACCAGAGGGACGTTTCGCATCCACCGAGAAATGAGCCTGACTACGAGGTCCTACTAAGGGATTCAGCGGCGACCGTACACGCGCTAGACACGGCACACAAAATTGACCGGGACAATGTCATAATAATTAAGTTAGGATTATTGGAAACAAGCCAAATGACTGCTGAGGCGATCGAGATTACTAAGACTAATAACTGTGTAAACAGAACGGATGGGGCGTGGCTGGCTGTCTTAACCCGGCCAGTCAGCAAAGATGTCGGCTGACGAACTCAGCTCAGAGTGTGAATCAGCAGCAGCATGAACAAGAACGCCCCACTTGTGAACGACCGGTGACTCGGATCAATGAGGCACGCTCAGTGCCTGTTAGTTTCACTAGAATGTCCACTTGACCTATTGACCTGTAGCACTATTATCCAATGCTTCGTGTTATTTCTTACATTCCTCACCCACTTTCTCATAAAAATCGAAGCCAATAGTGTAACGATTCACCTGGCCTGAAGAAGCTCTTGCGTCAAGAGCGAAACCCTGCCACAATAGCAACTTACAAAAGCCGATTTGTATTCAAAAGCTTCTGAAGTCATAACGATAAAAAGGCAGAGGAGCCAACAATGGTGATACGAAATTGTCACAGTTTAGCAATTGCGGAACTGGCACAAGTTGCTGGCTCTTAGCTGAAGTATCACAAAGCTTAACACGTCAGGTGCCTGTGAGGCAAAACTATACTCTAACCGACATGTTGTACAACGTATTGATTCACTATTCTAAACTAAGCCAATCGACAAATGGGTGAGCGGGTTACAGGCACACGCCAGCGGATGCAAGCAACGAATAGAAAGGGCTCAGTACATTGGCTGTGAGAATGCCACAGAAATGTACTGCAATTCATGAGGCCACATCAATTTAAACTAGATGAGATAGCCACGTATAAGGAGGTAAGCTTGAATCGGCCAGTTTAGGTAGTCAAAGCTGTGTTCATTAACCGACACTGCATATAGCATTATGCAGCGCTCATGCAATCTTTTAGATATATCGTCATGGATGTTTTGTATAGATACTGTACCGTATTCACAGCGCATTCATGATAACCTGGCATTGCTGTTGCCGTGAGTATGCACACTTCCATTATGTAGCAGCGAACGCGAAGTTCTCCTGCATTCATACCATGACTCTGGCAACAATGTCATCTCCAATCGCCTTTCTTCTTTGTTCGTTCTTTTGACACGAATGACCCCTCGTATGCTTAAAACTGTTGTGATTGTCGTTTTTCTACTGTCTCTCCGCTTCAGGTGCAAAGGTTCGCGCTTACTCTGCGGCGCCACCTTGGGCTTCTGGTGGCTCGACTGATGATGGCAAATGGGCCCGCGCGGCTTTGTTATCCGGCCCCCCAGGAATCGGAAAGACCAGTACTGCATTTGTCGTGTGTTCCGAATTACAGTTTTCTACTTGCGAACTGAACGCATCCGACAGTCGTTCTAAAAAGTTGCTACAAGAGGAGATCTCTGAAGTGCTTTACACACAGAGCGTGGCGCATTTCGCAACCCGAAAAGGTTCACTTTGTTCTCTTATTCTGTTTTTAGCAACTCTGTTTGTGCACTTCCTGTTCAACTTAATTCATCCCTGGACTTTTGCTCTGTCTGCTGTTCAAGCAGGATTGTTTCTCAGTTGTCTCAAATAACAATCAGCATTAGTCTCCGGACAAAACCGCATCATTTGAGGAACACTGTATTGCCCACAATGCATGGGACATTGATCTTATCTATGCTTGATGTGGCTAGTGGTCAGCTTCCCGCATCCTCGGATCACAGTTTTATCTCCATCACATGTTATCCCTCCGGCTTTTGTTATCCGACTCAAAATTCTCCCCATTTCGCGGATGCGTTTCCGATCAACCTTCCGACGGTACACCCTATCCATTTGTAGTTGTCATCGATCCACATATTGTCGTTTCGTATTCGATCGGCTTTCGATACTTCATCTCACCATACAGTTAACGGCTACGTATCTTGCAACATGCATCATATTTACCTTGTTCCGTTACCACGGGAATCCTATTGTCCGTGCATCTTTTTCTCTAAATTGCCTAGCGGTGGCCTGGTAACCGCGCTATTCATCCTAGTGTAGCATTGTACCACCCCTCTATTATGCGCAGATTAAATTAACCGAATTCTTATCGATTTGGCGTTGTTGTTATGCCACCACAATGAATCCGCTCTCCTAAGTATCGTTGTCCCTGCTTAGTAGTTTTTTGCCCATCTGCCTCTAGCTTGCCACCTTTGTGAAGCGATAGGATTCCCTTTCTGAGTGTGACGGTTTTTACCTTTTCAGTCTGTTGTGCGAGCTCGGGTACTTCGCTTTGAACGAGTTACTTAGTCAAAATTGTCGGCTATTACTTGAATCGGCATACCATTAACCTGTCTTAATTAACTTGGATTTTCTCCTCATTTTTGCCTGCATTTGTTAGTTATTGTTTCTATTGTCTCTGAAATTAGTAGACCTCTGCGGTGTGATGGTTTAGGCGCCTGGCTTGGGAACAGCACCTGTTTTTGTGTACCCGCGTTTGTCCTGTCATAAGCGATAAGGCCGTATCCCAGCCTGCACTCATGCTCTTGCGGTTAAATGGGGTTGAATCACCATTCCAGCGTGCTGCCGACACGGAAATGGGCGGAATTGGATTTGTCGCATTTTTCAGCTGAACTGAGTCTTGTTGCTCCTGTTTACTGTGTCTTCACTTTTATTTACCCGCCGCAGAGTGGTCACTTCTCCAATCGAACGTTCTCATGTCGGTTGCTGTCACAAACGTCCCCTTAAAACTCAGAATTAGGCTATCTCTTTTAATTACTGATGAGTAGGAAGATTTTGGATGAAATTTTTTGGTTGTTCCCAGCACCACAAACGCGATAAGCTAACCTCCAATCCGGAAAACACCAGACGATGGTTTTGCTCGTCTGTGATGCGTTATTCTCTCAGTTCTCGGCAGAAAACCGAACCCGTGAGCACTAAATGATTGTGGTGGTGTCAGCAGTTTATGTCACTGAGCCACGGTGGTAGACCGTGACAGTTTGTATGCGAACTGAGACCTACAGCAACACATCTTCCATTTCCCCTCAGGTTACCAACCTTGCAGAAAATAGTGATAGACTTGAAAAGGTCACGACTTCTACATCACAGTAGCTTATACGACAACGTGACGCCAGTCACCATCCCCGTGACTCAGTGACACAAGCTGTTAGGGCCAACCCTTTCCTGATGCCCACTTTGCGGATTTAAGATTCAGAGAGCGCATCGCCCCCGAATAGTATATGATGCAGTTGTAATATGCTGCAAACCCGCAGAACTCAGTGATGTGGAGCAAAACAGACGTATATCTACTAGCTCACTATTTTCAGTATTCAGTGGTCACAGATTCGGTTTCCTGCAATGAACCGATAGGAATGCCCACCTCTGACGAGGTCCAGTAAAGCGAAATTGTCTTCTGATGCTTTTCCGGATTGGTCGTTAGATTATCGCACTTGTGGGTTTCTGGAGTGAGCCAGTAAAATATCCCATTTTTCTATGCGCTTTCTGTGCTCGGTTTCACTCCTGGCTCCATAAACTATTTTTACGTAACTTTGCCCATGGTATCATTCGGGTCATCTATTATCTATTGCACTACAATGGCATGCGAACTGTTCACGCAAATCAACTTTTTTTATCTGTCGGGATTCACCTTCAGCGCGTCAATGTGGCATCCAATTCCTCATTTTGTTCCCTATTGATTTGTGTCCGTCGTGCTTCCAACTGACGAAAACTTCACTTGTGTTGTATTGATCTTAGAGTGAACTCACCACTCACACTTATCAAAAGATTATGTCTCATAACTTGTCGACATCCCAGTTTTCCTTTATTATCTGCCTTCTTGTTGTTTTCCATTTGCGTTTCTTAGCCTCTCAGCTGAACTCGAAGCACAGTGTCCTTTTGATGGATGAGGTCGACGGCATGGCCGGGAATGAAGACCGAGGTGGTATGCAGGAGCTCATTAACATGATCAAAACCACTCGTATACCAATCATTTGCATGTGCAACGATCGTCAGTCGCCAAAAGTAAGTCGTTAGCATTTAATCTTTATGGCGCATCATCTGCTAACTCTCGTATCTTGCTCATCGTAGCATTTGATATGTACAACGACATCTGTTCCATTGTCGAAATTTTATTTTTCTATGTGTTATATCCATTGTGGTTGCTGAGGTTGTGAATACCATTGCTCATTCCAACAAAACATATCAAGTTCACGCCTCTGAGAATACATTTTAGTGTACATTCACTACTCGACTTTCATTTGTCCCACAATCCTTCTCCGACCTTTTGATTCAGTCCGTTCCCATACTATAACTCGTTTGCGGATGAGACGTTTTGGTTAGATTAGTCGAACTTGGTTCTTCTACTCTACGAGGACGCCTACTTCTTTTGTTAGCTGTATCGGTCGGCGTCGGGTATAATTCGGCTCAGTGTGCGCTACTTGTATTCTTTTTAAATAACTGATAAATAACCGATAATTTCGCAGTAGTACAACATCCAACAATGCAAGCGAACACATGACTTTAACATTTCCTCATCAAGCTTATACAGGTATATGTGGAGACAAAACTTGTATTTTTTTTTGTTCGTCGCTATCAGCCGACAATTCAGATATGTCGACCAGCTATCCGGAAAAGCACCAGACGGCCGTTTCGCCCTATTGGGGCTCATCAGTGGTGCGCATCCTTCGGTCCTCTGCGGAGGATCGAATCTAGTGGCTCTTGCCAACTAGCCCGCAGCTTATGCAACTGCGCCATGGACACAACCTGAGAGTCAGTAAAATACACACAATTTACTATTGCAATCACTCTCCGTTTGGTCACAGCTGCGCCATCCGCAAAATTCATGGGTTGGACGCCACAATTCTCGTTTGTTCCAAAGTCGTCTTAACGTTTCAGCGTGTCGTTTCTGAACGCACGATACTGGCTCGTACGACCGCGTCGTGATGACCTCAATGGATTTAAACAAACGCCTACCTTGACTGATTCAGCCAACTTGGTGTCATAGACTGTGTCGTCTATTTGCCTGGCTATGGATTAGTTGCTTCGTTTTCCGACATCCAGACGAATTATGTTCCTTCAACCCGTCAGACAGATGCCTTGGTTGCGACCAATGTAACAGCAGGGGTCGCCAAAGTATAGCACGCGGTCTTGATTTTCATGACCCGCGGTTTATGATCCGCCTGAGCTGGTTGCATGATGTCCACTTTCATTAGAGGTATTAGACTAAATCGGGGATTCTTTGCTCGCAAATTTGCCTTGATGGCGTCCACCTCAGCGTCTAGATTGATCAAATTGTTTGTTGACTATCATGCTTCTTCGTATCCCCACTTACTAGAATATTTGCGTTTTCTAGATCAAAATTATCATCTACTTCATTCTCGTGCATAAGTGAATAAAGATGTCTAAAGAAGAGAACGCCTGTGGCGTCTAACTCATTATAGCCACTCAGATGTTCGCACCCACCTTTGGTCTGTCGCTTAATGTGCGCGCATGTGTCTGCCTATCGATACCCACTCACAACTTGCTTGGCCTCAACCACTTGATGGATGCTCTGTACACCTTCTTGCCAGAATACACGTTGCGCTCTACCAGTTCGGTGTGTTCTATTGTCTTTACATCGTTTCGCTACAAGCATGTCCTGTGTTCCCAAATTCCGCACGTGTCGACTTTAACAATGCCCCAGCAACGGCAAAAACTGCCAACTAAACGAGGGCTGTTTCAACAGCTAGCTACGTTCGACCATCGCTGCTTTCACAGCTTACCTCATGTTTGGTCGGAACACCGCATGGGCAATGAACGTGTTCGGCCTCGTGTACTTAGTTGACGAAGAGCGAGAGAAACGCTTAGCACCGTTATATCACGCACCAGGCTCCGATGACTAGGCCACGTGTTGCCCATGCCAGCTCAACGACTCCCGGGTCTTGCGTTCTTTGCGCAACCGGGATCTGGATGGAAGAAGAGTAGGGGTGGCCAAGCGATGACTTGGTCAAGAGGAATGAAAGCCCTCACTTCGAAGTTGGTGTCGCTTGTTATCCCGCGACTGCCAGGCTGGGGCCCCAATGGCGATGAGCACGTTTGGTTAGATACACTCGTAGATACTGCTAAGAGCCAGCTTCAGTAGCGTTTGTGTTGCGAGTTTTTTATCCGTAACACTCCGATTTAGATTCCCACTCTAATACGACCTCATACCAAATGCATGACATGATATTTAGCATTATATTACTTGCTTTTTGAAGTTTTTGTATTCCGTTATGTTTAGTATCGTTTTGTATTGTAGCGCATTAGCTGAGGTGGATTTCTCGGCTAATGTGTTTTGACGATGATGATGATGACGACGTCCATTAGTCAAGAGAGTTTCTTAGCTAGCAGCATGATTACTATAGCAACACATAATCACGGAAGCGCACAAACCAAATGCTACCATCAGAGGGTTACTTTCATGACCGAATATTAAAATCAAACAAAGCAGTCATACCGATGTCATCTGCTAGCTAAACGTCGACGAATGCGTTAGACTCAACGTCGAGCAAACAGGATTAAACCATACCGATCAGAGAGCACAAGAAGAATATAAGTACGCATGATCCATATTCCTTGCTCTCTATACACGAGGGTGAATCAGTTCATCATTTTAATCTGGAAAGCACCATGATTCTGGCGCATGGGAACACGAAGCAAGCAAGCGAATTCTTAGAAGCATGACAAACTGTGAACCATTCGACCAGTGGTTACGTTGAATTGGATGCCGTCTACGCATCTACCGTCAAAGAGCCACCCGAGTCGGACGCCGCTAATAGAAGTGGACACCATACTAGCAGCCAGGTAGGTTAACGGGTCGTGGCTCGCAGAGGCCATTCTCAAAGGTCACTTGTCCAAACGACTAATGACTGTGAGCTATTAATACACACGCACGTGGCCACCTTATTCACACATACGCGTAGCTCCGTTCCCATACACACTTTCCAATTGATGACGTCACTTTTATCGGTGACATGCAACTTGCAGCGAAATTGCCAAGCTCAGCTAATACGTTTTATCATAAATGAACAACCTGATCTACGTACACGCTTCCATAATAAGTTATATATTTCTTTATTATGTATGTGTTTCTCAATGTAACACAATGTAGGATCACGCTCTCTGAAATTGTAGTAGCTCGTTGAACCTCTACTTGTTAGTGTAATTCCTTCAGCACGTTAATTGACTCGAAGCAAATGTTTAGAAGACAAACCAGATGCTCTTACGAGCTTGATCTACAGTATTTCCGGCGTGCTTGATGAAGTTTGAAGCATTGAAATAATGTGATACAGTTGCACAGTAGCTTGCCGTCAGTGGCAAGCGATCCTTGCCTGTTTCCACACCTGTAAATAAATACTGGTCTATTTCTCGACAGTTCATAGCACAGTTCAACTTAGTGGTTTGATCAAATATCTACCGTTTGATCGCATATAACAGAACACGGTTTATTCTTCGAGACGTTTTACAATCGAATTTGAAAAAAACTTAAGTTTATTGCACCAGAATGACTTGGGAATCGGGTACAGTAACAAACAAGTAAACTTATGTGGCTATCCATTGAACCGTCTCCACTGTACCTGCTTCCATACTGATTATTCCATCGAAAGTTTCATCCGCACTTCCATGACTCATCTAGCCGTGTGCCGGTGGGGCTAAATAGCATGTATGTCGGCGCCTCTATAACACGTTTTTAGAACTGTTATATGCATATGGGCGAACAGACCGTTCAGCTCTTTTGATTACTCGGCTGTGTCCGAGCATGACAATTTATCTTTTTAAACGCCAGTAAACCAATTGCAATACAACTTACATGGGTTTAATTATTAACTTGGCAGTTTCAATCCATCACCCCAGGATATCAATCCAGTCGTGGCCAATAGTGAAATAAGGAGAAATATAAATATGAGGGATTAATAATAATACTGATGCATCATTCCGTTTTCGATAAGGCGAGACCCAATTTAGCACACGTGATTCATGTGTGGGAATGTTTCACAATAATTTCCTTGGATGATTACTGCTCGAGCAGACTTATTGTCACATCCAACTATACTTTTCTGAATGAGTTCCGCTAAAAGACAGAAATCTCTGTTATTTTTCGACCAAATCGCAATTTTCAAGCGATCAGTATGGATAGCGTGTTATGCCAAAATGAAGAAGCGAATAACTATTTATTGGATTGCTATGGTGGTATGCTCTAAACAGTACTGGTAAAAATACACGATTAGTAAAAGCTGCAGATATTTAATTGGGATATACATAATCTCTACTTTCAAAATTAATTATAGAATAGGAGCTTATACAGCTGTTACTAATAGCACATAGTAAATTGAAAGCCTGATGTTGAGTATGAAAGCAATTTAAAAAATGATGTAGGCTAAGGTCGTGATGTCCTTCTCAGTGTGACAATGTTTGCACTAGTCGAGAATAGATATCGTAGCCACCTAGTAACGTGGTTTAATAATGAGGGCTAAGTTAATGAGATTTGGATAAGGGATTTGGTCTCCTACGTTCCACTGAGCTAGTGTTTCCGTCAACTAATGCAGTTGTACGAGATAAATGAAACGAACATAAAGAAATAAATAAAAAGGTTGACGAAAGAAACAGCAGTGCATTAGCCGCTCACATGACTCGGTTTGGGTTGTGTCTATCTTTCTCCGTGTCCCATACATGCTGTTTGGGCCTTTCCAATAGGGCTTTTTTCCCTAAGTTTATTCTGAATAGCTCAATTGCTTTAGCTATTTTATGGAATTTCTTTATTCGATTACGGAACACATTCTAGAGCGCACAGGATAATGGATAATTGTTCCCGTTGATTGCATATCTGTTAACACATAACTTTGCTTTTATTTTCGTGTGCTTTAATTCTGACAGGATGAATTCTTTGGTTCCTATTTAATACTGCGTAGTAGTTCACAACTAAACAGAATAATTGAGCGAAAAATTCTTCAATGTTTCACATCGTAAAGAAGGGATAAGTTAACCTTACGCCTTCTGGGTCAAAT